GCCCTGTCCTGTCCCCCAAGCTGTCCATGAATACACACAACACACACGACTTGTGATAGGTGTCCCAACACCTGCCGTGTCCTGTCCCCCAAGCTGACCATGAATACACACAACACACACATGACTTGTGATAGGTGTCCTGTCCAACACCTGCCCTGTCCTGTCCCCCAAGCTGACCATGAATACACACACACACACACGACTTGTGATAGGTGTCCCAACACCTGCCATGTCCTGTCCCCCAAGCTGACCATGAATACACACAACACACACACGACTTGTGATAGGTGTCCCAACACCTGCCCTGTGTCCTGTCCCAACACCTGCCCTGTCCTGTCCCTGGACCATGGACATTCACACAACACAAGACCTGTACACACCACATGACTTGTGATAGGTGTCCCAACACCTGCCCTGTCCTGTCCCCCAAGCACCATGAATACACACAACACACACATGACTTGTGATAGGTGTCCCAACACCTGCCCTGTCCTGTCCCCCAAGCTGACCAAATACACACAACACACACATGACTTGTGATATACACACCTGCCCTGTCCTGTCCCCCAAGCTGACCATGAATACACACAACACACACATGACTTGTGATAGGTGTCCCAACACCTGCCCTGTCCTGTCCCCCAAGCTGACCATGAATACACACAAACACACATGACTTGTGATAGGTGTCCCAACACCTGCCCTGTCCTGTCCCCCAAGCTGACCATGAATACACACAACACACACGACTTGTGATAGGTGTCCCAACACCTGCCCTGTCCTGTCCCCCAAGCTGACCATGAATACACACAACACACACGACTTGTGATAGGTGTCCAAACACTGCTGCCCTGTCCTGTCCCCCAAGCTGACCATGAATACACACAACACACACGACTTGTGATAGGTGTCCTGTCCCCCCAACACCTGCCCTGTCCCAACACCTGCCCTGTCCCCCCAAGCTGACCATGAATACACACAAACACACACACGACTTGTGATAGGTGTGTCCCAACACCTGCCCTGCCCTGTCCTGTCCCCCAAGCTGACCATGAATACACACAACACACATGACTTGTGATAGGTGTCCCAACACCTGCCCTGTCCCCCAAGTGACCATGAATACACACAACACACACGACTTGTGATAGGTGTCCCAACACACCTGCCCTGTCCTGTCCCCCAAGCTGACCATGAATACACACAACACACATGACTTGTGATAGGTGTCCCAACACCTGCCCTGTCCTGTCCCCCAAGCTGACCATGAATACACACAACACACATGACTTGTGATAGGTGTCCCAACACCTGCCCTGTCCTGTCCCCCAAGCTGACCATGAATACACACAAACACACATGACTTGTGATAGGTGTCCCAACACCTGCCCTGTCCTGTCCCCCAACACCTGTCCTGTCCTGTCCCCCAAGCTGTCCATGAATACACACAACACACACATGACTTGTTGTGAACACCTGCCCTGTCCTGTCCCCCAACACCTGCCCTTGTGATAGGTGTCCTGTCCTGTCCCCCAAGCTGTCCATGAATACACACAACACACATGACTTGTGATAGGTGTCCCAACACCTGCCCTGTCCTGTCCCCCAAGCTGTCCATGAATACACACAACACACACACGACTTGTGATAGGTGTCCCAACACCTGCCCTGTCCTGGCCCCCGCTGCTACTAAAGTGGAGGCAAACAGGTACTCACTGTGGGGAGGTCCGGTGAAGAGCTCTCTCCCCGTCCTCTTCTCCTCCTCCGTGCACCGCGCACACCCCTCCAGCAGTCCAGAGCAGAGAGGAATCCCGGCGCTCTACAGCCCGCACTGTGCCCGACACTCTCCTTGCCTCAGAAAGCAACACAGGCACCGGCTCCCTCCCGCCCTCCCCCCCCGCCCCTGACAAGGCATGTGTGGCGGGGACAGCGCGCTGTGAAGAGGGCACTTCTCTCACACCTTCCGAGGTGACAGCACGCTGCTAGTCACCAACTTCTCCACACATGACTCCTCCACAGCGGAGTACCACCTGAGCTCTTGTCCCCGGGGGCAGCAGGGGCTGGGTGGGACACAGCAAGCTGGACTCCACAACTTCTTCTCTGTGCTTGTGTTGTTCCAGCCAGCTAACCTTTCCTGGAGAGGTCGGCAATGACAGAGCCCCCCCATTCACTGACTCTGGGTTAACCCTTTCCTGTCTGGGTTATTTTCACGTTAACCACTTGCCCTCTTGAAGATTTAATCCCCTTTCATGACCAGGCTAGTTTTTTGGCGATACAGCGCTGCGTTACTTTGACAATTGCGCGGTCATGCAACGCTGCACCCAAATGAAATTTCCGTCTTTTTTTTTTCCCCCACAAATTTCTTTTGGTGGTATTTGATCGCCTGTGTGGTTTTTATTTTTGGTGTTATAAATAAAAAAGGCTGACAATATTTTTACTTTTCTGCTATTAACCTCCCTGGCGGTCTGATTATGTTGATCTTTTTGAATGTCAAAGCAGTACGTTGTTTTGCATGGAAATTTGTTGTTTATTTTGTAGGATTGTAATTCTTAGTAACGAACTGAAATCTGTCCAAACAAGTCTAGTGAACATTCCAGGTATGATGAAGTTTGAAACACAAAATCAGAAATTATAATATAATAAATATTAATTATAAAAAATAATAATACTACATTTAATTCAATGAAGTAATCAAACCAAAAACACTGAAAATTTGAAATAGAGCAGCAGGTTCGCACATCAGTGAGCAAAGATCATACTTCTACCCAGCCACACCATACTTCTAGCAGCCAGATCATACTTCTACCCAATCAGATCATACTTCTACCCAACCAGATCATACTTCTACCCAACCAGATCATACTTCTACCCAGCCACACCATACTTCTACCCAACCAGATCATACTTCTAGCAGCCACACCATACTTCTACCCAACCAGATCATACTTCTAGCAGCCAGATCATACTTCTAGCAGCCAGATCATACTTCTACCCAATCAGATCATACTTCTACCCAACCAGATCATACTTCTACCCAACCAGATCATACTTCTACCCAGCCACACCATACTTCTACCCAACCAGATCATACTTCTAGCAGCCACACCATACTTCTACCCAACCAGATCATACTTCTAGCAGCCAGATCATACTTCTACCCAACCAGATCATACTTCTAGCAGCCAGATCATACTTCTACCCAGCCACACCAGCTACCATACTTCTACCCAACCAGATCATACTTCTACCCAACCAGATCATACTTCTACCCAACCAGATCATACTTCTACCCAACCAGATCATACTTCTACCCAACCAGATCATACTTCTACCCAACCAGATCATACTTCTAGCAGCCACACCATACTTCTACCCAACCAGATCATACTTCTAGCAGCCACACCATACTTCTACCCAACCAGATCATACTTCTAGCAGCCAGATCATACTTCTACCCAACCAGATCATACTTCTACCCAACCAGATCATACTTCTACCCAACCAGATCATACTTCTAGCAGCCACACCATACTTCTACCCAATCAGATTATACTTCTACCAAGCCAGATCATACTTCTACCCAACCAATTCAACCACTTGCCCTCCTGAAGATTTATCCCCTTTCATGACCAGGCCAGTTTTTTGGCGATACAGCACTGTGTTACTTTGACAATTGCGCGGTCATGCAACTCTGCACCCAAATTAAATTTATGTCCTTTTTTTCCCCCACAAATAGAACTTTCTTTCGGTGGTATTTGATTGCCTGTGTAGTTTTTATTTTTTTGTGTTATAAATAAAAAAGGCTGACAATATTTTTACTTTTTTGCTATTAACCTCCCTGGCGGTCTGATTATGTCGATGTTTTTGAATGTCAAAGCAGTACATTGTTTTGCATGGAAATTTGTTGTTTATTTTGTAGGCCTGTAATTCTTAGTAACGCACTGAAATCTGTCCAAACAAGAGTCTAGTGAACATTCCGGGTATGATGAAGTTTGAAACACAAAATCAGAAATTATAATATAATAAATAATTATAAAAAATAATAATACTACATTTAATTCAATAAAGTAATCCAACCAAAAACACTGAAATTTGAAATAGAGCAGCAGGTTCGCACATCAGTGAGCAAAATCACAGAATCGTTGCTGTCGTCACTTTCAGTGTCTGATGATGAATTTCCCCACAAATCACTTAATTCTGCAAGTAGTTCTGATTTACTATCGCTGTTCTCTAGCTGGTCTAAAACCGCTTTGGACCTAAAGGGACGCTTTTTGGATGCCATGGACGTTTCTCAGTTTCCAGGCAGAAAGAATGGTAAAAGTGCAGGCAGGGCACAGGACAAAGCACTCGGGACAATATGTATGTGAATTGGTTTGATACAGTAATGTAATGCTAAGAGATTACAATGTATTGTGTATATGTCAGGTTTTTACTTTTTATAATCTCCTGCCGGTTTTGTCCCCCTGTGTCGTGATGCTCGCAGGGAACGGAACCCGGAAGACGGATGCCGGCATCAGCCGGGGGACACAGTGGGAGAACATCGCAGGACAAGATAAATTACACTGCAGTGTAATCCCGAGTGTGGATCGGGGTCACCGCTTTTGGTACTGAAAATTAACCCCCGAGCCACACTCGGGATTACAGCTAGGAAGGTTAACCTCTTCCCGTCCAGCCCATGTCGATAAACAGCCGGATGGGAGTGCTGCCAATGCGGGTGGACGTTTCTAAACATCCCCCAGCATTCATTGCCTGTGCAAGCTCCCTGGGAGCGTGCGGCACAGCGATCGGTGCGGACACAGCAGAACACCGATCGCTGTTCGGGACCTCTATGTGAGGTCCCAATTCATGTGATCACTGATTGGTCAATCAGTGATCACATGAACAGTAGTAAACGATGTTACTTCCTAACATCATTCCTTATGTGTGAAATCTGTGAATGATCACAGAGGTCACATGGTACAAGGCTATTCACAACAGCCTTGTACAGGGGTGGACTGACCATTTGGAAACTCGGGCACTGCCCAAGGGCCCGGGGTCAGTAGGGGGCCCCATGAGATGCCCCTGGTACCTTTTTCATAGGCTTTTTTGAGTTTGGACAAGGACACAGGGGCCCCATGATCCCCTATTGCCCGGGGGCCCCATGAGTTTTCAGTCCACCCCTGGCCTTGTACCATGTGACAAGCTGTGATCAATTATAGCTTGCACCGTATTTCTCAATGGCTGCAGGAATGCAGCCAGAGAGAAAGAGAAATAATTGCTTTTACAGCCTTTATGGGTCTAAAAGCAACCAGTGTAAAAAAAAAAAAAAAAATCTTCATCACCCCCCCACAAGTAGTACAGTGTCACTATGGTGACACTGTACTGCTAGGGTGACAGTATGTAAAAAAAAAAAAAAAAAGAAGCAAAAAACATAAATAATTTAAAAAAAGAATAAAAATGTAAAAACACAGAAAAATTATAATTTTTGGTTATAAACTAATTTTGTTTTTATTTTTTTTTTACTAAAAAGATAGATGATTACATTTTGGACAAGATTTTATGAAGAAAGATTATTTATTTGCAAAATTTTATAAGAAAAAACGCTTTTTTTTTTTTTCAAAATTTATGGACTTTTTTATTTATATAGCAAAAAAAAAATCCCAGTGGTGAATAAATACCATCAAAATAAAGTTTTATCTGTCTCAAAAAAATGCTAAAAAATTAATGACCGCGCAATTGTCATTCAAAGTTTGATAGCACTGAAAGCTGGAAATTGGCCTGGACTGGAAGGGGGTGAAAGTGTCCGGACTTGAAGTAGTTAAACATGTCCAGTAAAAAATTTTAAAAAATCAAATCTCATCATAAATTTAGGCCAGAAATATATTCTACTACATGTCTTTGCTAAAAAAAAAAATCCAATATGTGTAAATTAATCGGTTTACGTGAAAGTTATAGCATCTACAAATGGCAGTATATATACTGGAATTAAAAAAAAAAATTTTTTACTAGTAATGGCGGCAATCAGCAACTGATAGCCAGCATTCTGATACTGGGAGAACTGACTTGGTGTCACTGACATCCCCAGTGACACCAATACAGTTATCAGTGCTAATAAAAAGCACTGACACTGTACTAATGGCACTGGGATGGAAGGGGGTTTTATTTTTTGCACTATAAAAAAAAAAAAAAAGACAATTTTGAGAAAAAAAAAAACAATATTTTTGACTTTTTGCTATTAAACATGTCCAGTAAAAATATATAAAAAATCAAATTTCGTCTACATGTCTTTGCTAAAAAAAATTTTAATACATATAAATTAATTGGTTTACATGAAAGTTATAGTGTTTACAAATGGTGGTATATATACTGGGATTTTTTTTTTTTATATTTTTCTTTTTACTAGTAATGGCGGTGATCAGTGACTTACTGCGGGACTGCAGCGTGCATTCTGACACTGGGGGCAACTGACTTGGTGTCACTGACATCTCCAGTGACACCAATACAGTGTTCAGTGCTAATAAAAAGCACTGACACTGTACTAATGGCACTGGGCAGGAAGGGGTTAACATCTGGGGTGATCAAAAGGTTAACTGTGTGCTGTTTCACTCTGTGTGCTGTGTGTCTGTGTTTCACTGTAAGCACACTGCTTTGTATGATTTTGCATTTCTGGGTAGGGGGCGTGCGCAGGCCGTGCACGCGCCCTACCCGCACTGCCATTCGCGGCTGTCAAACACCAGGTCCTGGCCGGTGTTTCCCACTGGCACCCAGTGATTACTGAGGATCTGCGACGGGGAGGAGGGCTGCTTTGTTTACTAACAGTCCTCCTCCCTGTCGGCTCGGGCACACCGCTCTGGATGGCTGTGCACAGCTGTGTCAGAATGCCCGCCAGGGTCCCGCAGTCCCACTATAAGTCACTGATCGCCGCCAATATTAATAAGAATAAAATTACAAAAATTCCAGAATATATACCGACATTTGTAGATGCTATAACATTCATGTAAACCAATTCATTTACATGTATTGGAATTTTTTTTAGCAAAGAAGAAATTTGATTTTTTAAATTTTTTTACTGGATATGTTTTATAGCAAAAAGTCAAAAATATTATTTTGTTGGTCTTTTTTTGTTTATAGTGCAAAAAATTTAAACCGCAGAGGTGATAAAATACCACTCAAAGAAAGCTCTATTTGTGGGAAAAAGGACATAAATTTAATTTATGCACAATGTTGCATGACCACACAATTGTCAGTTAAAGTAATGCAGCGCCGTATAGCAAAAAAATGGCCTATTCAGGAAGGGGGGTAAATCCCCTGGAGGGTAAGTGGCTAAGTGGTTGTAAACCTCAAACATGAAATTTGAACAAAGCATATCCCTTTATAGTGTATGCAATCTATAGTACTACAGTATGTGTCATTTCTGTCTGCTGCTGCCTCCTTCCTCTGCTATCAGCATGAATCACTTTTGACAAGTTTTCCTGACACCAAGCAGAAAAATGGTGACAGGGAGGGACCTCTAGCTGATTGATCATCTCAGCTATATTCCTGTGTGCTGTGTGAAGGGGGGGGTCTCCCTTCCCTCCAATAAGTTCCCAGAGCTCTCCTCACTGATGTAACTTCATCTCCATGCCCCCTGCTTTTCAGAGTTGAGATACTGTGTAAATTCTGTACTTTGAATGGATGTAGGGGAAAGACGCTGCAGATAAACAGGTATAGCTTATGTAAAAGCATTTATTTAATCTCCTATCAGTGCTGCATTTATTTGTATCACCTGAGGCCAATCACTTCAGTGGGAATATGTAAGTGTTTACAACCACTGTCAGAGTTGTTTTTGCCTTTTTTGCACACGTTTAAAAAATCATTTTAGGCCTGAAGATTACACAAACCCCCAAACATTATATATTTTCTGAAAGCAGAGACCCTAGCGAATAAAGTAGTGGTAGTTCCAATTTTTTATATCTCATGATATTAACTGCTTGCCCATCAAAAAAAAACAGTTTGCTGTAACTGATTAAAAAATGTGAGGTGGAGTTTGGCTGCAATTTGTTAGTGTTTACATCTGCTAATACATTTAACACTACCCTTCCCCCAGACTGACAATGCTGCTGTTGCTGTGCCTCCTGTGCTCCTTTATCCAGAGTGGTGTCTCACTAATACAGGAGGTGTGTTACTGGTCAGATCACCAGATGAAAACAGAAGGAAACACCGAAGAGAAAAAAAAAAGCTATTGCAACCGCCACATCTAATGATTGGTAAACTGCAATATAATACATTTTTGGTTTTGGGTTTAATACCACTTTAAATCTTTGTTAGGACAGACAAGACATAATCTGGAGCAGCTGTGCATGATAACCAATCAGTTTCTACTTTCAGCTTGTTCATTTAAAGTCATTGTACTCTATAAAATATTTTTGTTGTTTTAACTAGGTGTAATCTGGGCTGTAGCTGATAACTGCTGTGGCACTTCTTCCTTTGTTGCTGCTGTATTATCCTTCTGCAGTGTGGACAGAGTTAAACTGAATATTCATTAATGCAGAAGTGCAGCAGCCATCTTTAAGGAGAACACTTTGCATTGCTCGTCTATAGAGTGTCTCCAGTGCAAGGGGCAGTCATCATGGCTGGGTCTGGAGAACCCTAATTGGATGATGCAACAGAGCAAGAAGACAGTGAACTGAGCTGCTGGAGAAAGGGAGCTTGGTTGTGCCACCAACCTGCAGAATGCAAGGAGTATGTCCTGTGGGGGCCATGTGCTGTTGCAACCATTGTCCTGTGTTGAGCAACTGAGAAAGAGCACCACAAGTTTGCATTGTAGGGGGAACAGTGGTTTGTAGCCATAGATTTGCTGGATCTATCTGATGCTATGCTGCCCAAAATGAGAGACTGGTGCCTGAATCATATTTTGTGCAATGCTACATATTACGGGGTGGTCGTGGAAGCAAGCAGCTGTGTGGGAAAGCGACTGAGCTGCTGCTGCTGTAGGCATGCCTGCCATAGCCGATCACAACTGGGTGAGAACTGAGAGAGGCAAACAAGTTGAGAAGCTTCTCCCTGGCAGGGTGTGATTTGGATGCCTGGTGAGATCAGACTGTACTAAAGAGCACTCCCACCACTGGTATTGAAGCAAAAGAAGGTCTGTTTCAGCAGGATCGAAAGAGAGAGATCGTGAGCAAGTTCTATGCCTGTATGACTTGAACTGGAGGTTTTCTGAATCAGCATAACAAAACTTAAGAAACTGTGCTTAAGGTCAAACCAGTAATAATATGAAGCAAAGTGAAGACAGGAAAGCTGCTAGTATCAAATATAGGATACACTATAATGCACTAAAATGCCGCACTACTCCCTAGGAAAATTGCGATCTAGCAGTGTTCCAACCGTGCAATCATAGACAGCAAATATAAAATATTGAATACTGAATAAAGTGGTCAGGTACTGGCAACCGCAATCTGCTGTGTTCTGAGGACACGTGCTAAGCAATGTACAGGTACGTCACTTAGCCTGTAGCTGTCACCCTCCGGCCATATATGTACTGTGGGCAGTCCACAACTGGTTAAACCATATCTCTCAAAGTGACGTTATTGTCTTAGTGATTGTTTGTAAGTACACTACAAACACTAATTATCTCTTCTTTTACACTATGCTTGGCCTAGTAAATTCTTTTAAAATACCTCTAGGTGTGTTGGTAAATGCTGGGTAAGAAAGATGTATTATCTTCATGTGTGCAGAGAAATCACAGAACAATTCAGCAGCTCCTCTGGGGGGAGCACTACTATATATTAATGTAGTTATATTCCTTGAGTTGTTTGTAAAGATGAGTTCACATCTTGTAGCTGCAGTTTGTAGTGTCATGGCTGATCTATCCTTCTATGTTCGTGTATTCATTCACCTAGCTTGTCCCTATTCGCTAAAGGGACAATACAACTTCTTGTTCTGGGTAATGAAGGGTACAATCCATGCCCCGGCATTTCCCCTGTGTTGCATCACAAATGTGGGAGTGCTAATGTGATGAAATCACAACTTTCTATGAATGCTCTGCCTTTTGTGTCTGTCAGATCTAGATACTGTACCTGCACCAATGATAGACAGAGAAACCCAATGATTGAGGGCTATGTAGTTTCTTCACAGGAAGCATCATTTTTTAGATTACCCACAGAGGTGCTGCATTACCCTGCATAGTGAAGTGCCATACCACATGCCTCATGTTTGAACACAAGCAGAATCTTCTGAAACTGGAATGTGAAGATTTACTCTACTACAGGCTGTGTGTACAGGCCATCAAATGACAACACGAAAACTCTCTGATCAACGCACATCTTATACAGCTGATAAACACAAGGTGTAGGTAGGAAGGTGTATAATGCCTTTACAGAATATGTTACCCCAGTATATCATATGATCTGATATGTGTATGTTGTACCATGTACTTGTTTAAAAAGTATCCTGCTCTGTTTGTATTCTTTCATTGCGTCGCGTTTCCCTGTGTATAACTTGACATGCAGCTAAACCCTCCTATCCTGCAATAAGCCAGACTGTAATCTTGAAGCTTTATTACAAAACAAGGTGGATGAAACCATTAGGAAAAACAGATAAGAAGTACATATAATCAATATATGAAGAATACAGACACAATGGAATTATTAAGCTGCGTCTGGCAATAAGTCCATGCTCGCCAGTGACACTGCCTGTAGGGGATGTAGGTTTAGGCCACAAAATATACTCCAATAGCTGGTTCCTTCTCTCTTAGTTTCTAAGATGGAGTCTGAACTCCCAGGATATGTCTCTTTTTCTCAGAATGCTGGGAATTTTTCTTAACAGTTTCTACTTTCTATAAAACAGTAAATTTATTGTGGGCTCCATCTAGTGGCCGAATTTAATATTGCATATTGATTTTCCCTGCTGAAGGCAAAACACTTTGTATTGCTTGTATTGTGAAAAACCCCCTGCTTTCCTATTTCAAAATGACTACTATAGGCATAAAAGCACAATCATCCCAGTGTAGTCAGTTTTCTGGCTGTGCTGGCAGAACAGCCTGCCTCTCCTCCAATGACCCCTTCCCCCCGCACAGCCATTCACTGGGAAGTTCAGTGTACTGCAGTTTCTCAATTCCTAGCTCTTTAATTCCCTTATGCAACTGAGAACAGAGGTCATGTGATTACGTATAAAATAAAAAAGAAAAGGTATACAGTCATGGCCAAAAATATTGGCACCCCTGCATTGGACCTGATGTCAGGTAAAATTCAGGTATTTACAAAGCTTGTATTATGGATTGGACAACATTATTGGCACCCTCAATTTAATATTTGGTAGCACACCCCTTGGAAAAAAATACCTAAAATAAAACGCTTCCTGTAATCATCAATGAGTTTCTTACACCTCTCTACTGGAATTTTGGACCACTCTTCTTTCGCCAACTGCTTCAGGTCTCTAAGATTGGAAGGGTTCCTTTTCTCAACCGCTGTTTTGAGATCTCTTCACAGGTGCTCTAGGGGATAGAGATCTGAACTCATTGCTGGCCAGTTCAGTATTCTCCACCGATTTGTCTTAAATCATTTCTGGGTGCTTTTTGAGGTGTGCTTTGGGTCATTGTCCTGCTGTAAGATGCATGACCTCTGGCGGAGACCCAACTTTCTGACACTGGGCCGTACATTGCACCCCAGAATTATCTGATAGAAATGCAGGGGTGCCAATATTTTTGACCATGAATATATATATTCGTGGCCAGCACATCTGCTCTAGATTCTTTCTGCTCCAGTGTTAGTATCTTCCACTCACAGTTTTCAAATGTGGTTTACAACTTATAATGAAGATGTGCCTGCACAGTACAGGTAGGCTTACTTATGGCAGTACTTATGGTATTACAGCTGCCTGGCTCCTTCATAAACAAAGTAGTAGGATTTTACAGTGCTGGAACAGAACATCTAAAAAAGGTAAGCTGTATTTTTTTTTTATATTTTTTTAAGTTGTTCAATGTGAATGAGAACATATAACAAGTTAAATAAGTGTTGTTCAAGTTTGGCTGCAAAAGTTAAACTACACATTAAAACACTTAATGTTTCTGTGCTCCTACTTGCAATTGTTTTACAGATGATGATTAAAGCAATCCTAAATTTCCTCAGTCCACTTCAAATACACACAGTATAATGTATACCTTTAATCTGTCCAGTCTTTCTCAAAGACAATTTTTTATGAGCCTTAACAGTGTTGTGATATGCCTTTCCTGCACCAGAATACATGAATGAATGATGGATATAGTTGTAATGAGTAAATTACTTGAAATTTCAAAATTGTATCTTGCCCACTAGACTGACCTTTACCCTGAGAGCATATGTGTAAAAGAAAATTGACTTTAAGAAATCGTGGTTATATGCACATATATATTTTCTCTTTCTCTACAGGCTCACTGTAAGTGGATTGTGCATTCCAGTGGGAGGTACACTGCTTTGTCCAATAATACATACATAACTGCTTGTGATTCATACAAGGTTTCTTATCTTTTTTTTAAGGAATACCAGCCTTATGATCTCTTTCCTATGAATAGCATTGGCAACAAGTCTTATTTTTACTGGCCAGGCCGGAAAAATATTGATCAGGTGGGAACCCTAGATTTATGCAATATGCATTAAATTATAAAGTTATTAGGATGATAATGTGGCCAGAGAGTGATTTAGAGGTTAGCCCCTCTGCCTAGAAGCAGTAGGTTTGTTAGTTTGAATTTAAACCACAGCAATACCTAGATGGAGTTTGCATGCATTCCCTTTACCTGTGTGGGGTTACTCAGATTTCTTCTCACAATCCAAAGATATGCTGGTAGGTTTATTGGCTCTAGTATGTAAATGTGAGTTAAGGACTGTAAGCTCCTTGAAAGTAGGGACTGATGTGAAGGTACCATATGTACAGTGCTGCCAGGGGCAGACTAACCATTTGAAAACTCAGGCACTGCCCGAGGTCCTAGGGTTAGTAGGGGGTCTCATGAGATGCCCCTGGTACCTTTCATAGGCTTTTTTGGGTGTGATTTGAGTGTGGAGGAGGACACAGGGGCCCCATGATCCCCTATTGCCCGGTGGTCCCATGAGTTGCCAGTCCGCCCCTGAGTGCTGCCATTATATAAGTACCTCAAATAAATAAATGTATGGCACACACTCATACAGAAAATGCTTCAATAAGGCAAAACACTGTTATGGGATGATAAAGGTGTCAGAAAAGGCCTTGTAGTTTTATGAAGAAGACATCACAAGAAACAAGAGTTAAAGTTGTCCTTAAAAGTGTAAAGCTGTAGGAACTTCTTGTCCATTCTCTTGTGCTTACTTTGAAAGTCAGCAGCTGGCTGTGATTGTCATATTATTTCTTTAAAAAATGGAGGTTACTGCAGGGCTACTGTCTCCAGATCAGTGGACCAAAAATGAACAACATTGTTTTTGTTGTCCACTCACTTGCGTACCTGCCCTGACATGCAGTGTACTCCATATTATTCTTCTTTCATTGGAGATAAAAAAAAAAATAAGGTGTAAAGTCTTAGGTCTTCAAGGATTGAACTACCTTTTATAAATACTTAAAAAGTAGAATTCAAAGATATAGGTACTGTAGGCACCCCAGAGGCATGGTGGTAACCCCCAAAAACAAGGTGGGCTGACATTTCGCCTCAGGGGTAGATTACGTAGGCATAGTGGGACATGTAGAAAGATGGGCATCAGTCACTTTTAGGTGAGAACACAAAAAAAGATTTATGTACTCACAGTCCATGGTAGAGTGTGTTAGGGTTACACATGCTTAGAATCAAAGCAGAACTCTGTTACATTACTTGTCACAGCACAATAAAAAGGGCCTTTAAGTCGAAATTGACAATTCTGTGTTTTAGCATCCTTCTATGAACAATGTGATCAGCACCATTTATCTCTAGGAGAGGCACCCAGATCCCACACTTCAGGTTCCAGCATAAAGTCCTGAAGACATTCCCAGTAGGATCTTCTGGGTCTCCTGTTTCCAATAATCTACAGTCTACAACCTACCTCTAGTGAAGATCAGCATCACCAGGCCTCAGGTCCAGGCCTAACACATCCAGTCCACCACCCCCCTTCCCAGGCAGGCCTAAGCTAGTAGTTCCGTTACATGTATCCTCCCCAGGCCACTGCCTGGGAGAAAGAGAGCTTACATCAGCCAGCCCAAATATTTATACCGACTCCCATAAGGCACCACAAGCAATGGATATTCCAAGAGGTGGGCTGGGAAAAGATCTGCACATTCATAGTCCATAACTATTGTGTGATCTCTCTCTAATACCAGAGGCGACAGTGCCACCTACTGGAGGAAGGGAGAACTGACAGGCTGAAGCTGTACAGGAAACAAACTACAAATTGGCATTGGCAGGCTGCAGCCATGCAGAACTAAATTTATAGACATTCCTGCTTAAGTCAAGGGGGCGACAATACCAACCACAGAATTATACATAACTAAAGCCGGCCAAAGACAGTTAGAATCACTGCTGAACTGGCCGAGATTCCAACTATCTATGGGCAGGCTGATTGTACCCAATTCAATGTTGTATGACTTGGGTACAACCAGCCTGTTGGATTTTTCATGCATTTAATGCCAGCAGCTATAGCCCCTAGCAATAATCACTGGCTTTCCCCTGCACCCTCCCCTCCTCATCCGGAGAACACAATATCTCAGCGGGAGGGATTCCCACATCAACACTTAAAGTGTTGAAGGGGGAATTGAGCGATTTTCTTTCATGCAACCTGTCTATGGATGGATTTAGGCTGACTGCATTAGACTGTGTTAGAGTTATATGGTATAGCCAGGTGGGTAGACCCTGGCACCCAGGGCACATGCCCAAAGTCTTCTACTCAATGTTCTGGGTCTTGTTTGAGATATGGAGATGATGCATTCTATGCACTTTACAGTTTTAGAACATTGTATATTTATCTATAATCCATTTACTATTTATTTTGTTGTCATAATGTGAAAGTGTTTAAAACAATGCAATGTTTAGACCAATTTAATTAAAAAATTTATTAGATTTGATTCAAATGGTCATCATAGTATCCTACCAGCCCCTCAACATTTTATTCTGTGTGCCTAGAGGTGTCCATGGTCTAATAGGACCCTAGAAACACCCCTGGGTATAGCATCAACAGTGATAAAGCTATCATAGATTGAGGAGATGCAGCCACAGTTCAAAAGAGTACGGAAAAATCATATGTATCTTACCACCCCTGTCCCTCACCACCTTTACAAAGCTCTCCCATATGATCAGGGAGTCCGGTGAAGATGCAACCAGTTCCTGGGACACAGTGAGAGGAACTGATGTTATTCCTCCTGCTGTGTGATGTCAGAAATTAGCAGCAGCAAGGATTTTATCACTTCCGTTTTCAGTCTCATGTCAACAAGCCATTACCAGCTTGAACAAGCATCTGATCTAATTGATCTTGGTTTGATCAGATGCTTTGGTGGCCAGATAAGAGTTATGTGGTCTAATAGGTCCTGGACCTCTCCATAAAGAGGACTTGTCATGTTGCTCAATAAAAAAGATACAAAAAAATTATATAAAGTGTAAACATTTTTTAAAATAAAATAAATAATAAAATAATAGAAACATGTTAAAGCACCCCTGTTCCCTCATGCACATAGGTCCTGCACGCATATTTAAACAGTGATCTCACCACACATGTGAGGTATCGCCACAAACGTCAGAGCAAGGGAAATCATTTTTGCACCAGATTTCCTCTGTAACTCTAAACTGCTAACCTGTAAAGGCTTTTAAAGTGTCACCTATGGAGATTTTTAGGTAACGTGGTTCGGTGCTGTTCAATGGGCAAGCGCAATTTTAAAGTGTGACATGTTTGGTATCTATAACATTATGGGTATTATATTGTGTTTTTGTGCATTAAAATTCATTAATGTGTATTTTTTCCAAATAATTTGTGTTTGCAAAATCACGTGACATACAAATATGCAACACCTGCATTTTATTCCCTAGTGCCTCTGCTTAAAAATATATAATGTTTGGGGTTCTAAGTAGTTTTCTAGCAAACAAATTAGGTTTTTACATGTAGGAGAGGACAGTGGCGTCCCGAGGCAGGTGCGGGGGGTGACACCTACCGCACGGGGTGACACCAGACCCGCTCCATGAAAAGGTAAGTTGTAAAGCAAACCGACGATCCCCGCAGGATAGATCGGATCTGCAGATTGGGGAGCATAATGGATTGGAGTCCGATCCATTATGCTCAATCCGCAGATCCGATCCATTTTGCGGGGATAGTCGGAGGGGGAGTCAACAAGTGTTATCGTACTGAGTGACACCAACCCTAAGGACGCCCCTGGGAGAGGAATGTTCGAATTGTGTCGGAGTGGAAGTGGTTAAACCTTGAGTCCATTTACAAATGGAGTAACATAGACCTCTCTTACGTCCCACCTACTAGTATTGTACAGATAGGTCCCAAGCATAGAGTAGTCTCTTCTTTGTTGGAAACCCCATTGATGTGAACCCTGCATGAGTGCTTCCTTCCTTGATTTGATTGATTTATAGAGACCTGTGGAAAACAAGGTATGCCATTAAGCTCTTCTATGTGATTATATTGTGACATTATTTATTTTTATCATGAATACTTATTTTGAGTAGTAACCTATATCTGAAATGGGACATTTTGAATAATGACAAACCTATAAACATATGAACTGTCTTCAAACAAAATCAGCCAAAATTAACTATTTCTACATACTGTGTACTGTACTGTGTACTGCTGAAAAAAAAAAAAGTTCATTCATTTCTATCATGCTTCAATTGCGAATGTGATCCCTATGACCCCCATAGGCCTGCCGTACACATTTATGTGGGATGCCAAATTGCAGCAATTATTAACATGGTCATATCAATAAGGTATGGTCCCAATAGGCTTTTTACTTTGTTATTCAACCTTGTTGATGTTTCAGGGTATGTCAGAGTGATGTAATGAGATAATTATATGCCAGCAGACTAGTTACATCTGCTGAACAGAGTGCAGTACAATAGAAAATCGCATTTGACTATTAAATTACAGCAGAACACTGGTGACTAATATTAAAACAAAATCTGCAATCATGCTGAGTCAGTACTAGGATTTACATTTCTAATTCACATCTATCTTTTAATGTTACATGGCAACCACAAGTGTTTGTATAAGACTGAAAACTGAAGCAGTTGATTCAGGCAGCTGGATCTGAAAGAGAGGTAGGCAGCAAACTGCGAGATTCATTATAACAATGCATAATCTATGGGATACATGTTTTAGCATATATGGCAATATATCTAATACAGATAATGAAGATGTTATAGAAAAACACATTTTTTATAAATTACCATACAGTTAAAAGAAAGCCTTTGACATGAGAACATAACAACTTTAAACATATGTTTGCTGTATTGTAACTGCAACACGAACCATGCGTCTATATTTTATTAATAAGGACTGCATGGTTGTACAAATGCATGTAGTCAAGAAATCAAAATACACTCAAAATAGCTCATGATTCATCTAAGATTCAGAATGTGTTTCTAATCCCACATGCATGGGCATCTCTTCACTAAGCTGTCTCTTTGACCGCAGACCTTTGTGACTGCTTGGTTCACAATGCATTTTAGAGCGAGTTTTTATTTTTTGCTTTCCATATTGTGTATGCAATGTTATCTACATGGCCACTGCATGTTTTTAATGTGTACAGTGCCGTGGAATGTGTTGGTCCATCTTCATCATTAATAAAAAATTAATAATAATAGTTCTTTATGTAAGAAAGACGTATGCGAGGAGCAGTCTGTCATCCCGTGCTAAGCGATGGTCTGCATAACCACTTCACAAACCCACGCCTGCGTGGAATTAATTTTGCAGGAAGAAGGGACCCTTCATGTCTGAAATGGATGTGAATAAAAGGGCACTGAAAGGGTGAGGTATAAGAGTTCACCATTAAACATTAAAGGGAAAATATTTTCGGTGAGCACATATTTTGACCTATTATTTTAGTGTTCAACTTAAACTATATGTAATCCCTCACCTTGTAAAGCAACCCATTTAGTTTAAAATGCTAATGAAAGGCAAAACATTTGTGTTAAGATAAAAAAAACAAACATTATAAATACATGTTTTTCCTTTCTCGGCTGCATGTTGCTCTTTCTCAGATCCCATTCCCTCTGTTCTCAGCTGC